TAAATGAGTTTTCTATTTAATTTATATTTTTAAATACACCGAAATTTAAATTTTAACCATGCTAAATGTGCGTTTTTAAAAGTATGGTTATTCTAGAAGATTCTTAGAATCACATCAGCAGTTAGTTTGGTTTAGTTTTGCTAGATGGCGCTGCAGCAGTGAATCTATTTCAGTTTTGCCACCGCAGCTTCCAAAAGTGAGGTGGCGTAGAGTGATATCCGAGCGGTGCAACTTATGTTAATTTTTTTAATTGGCTCAAAATATTTTCATATTTTATTAAGTGAGTTTTATATTTAATTTATATTTTTAAATACATCGAAATTGAAATTTTAGCCATACTAAATGGGCATTTTCTCGACTAGAGTTTTCTAACTTTTTTTTTTTTTTTTTTTTTTTTTTTTGTATAAATAAATATTTCCTATTTCTACTAGGTTCAATATAGAGTTGAATATAGAGTTGTTCTAATTTATATCTAATTAATATTTTGGTTAGGGTTACAGTAATATCTTGCTCTAGAGCCCTAAAAATATTATTTTATATAAAACAGTCAACCATAATAAAACCATTAATTTGTTTTAGATGACACAAACTGAGAACTATGTTTGGTTCTTACCATCTTGGTTGTCAAAAGACTTTAAAATGTGGAGTATTAAAGTTGATAATAGATGTTCCATTGAGCAGTTTCGAAACGTGAGTAGTTCATATAAAAATATTAAATGCTGACTCTCACTAAACATTCTATGTTGAACAGGCGATCGAAGGACATTTAAGTATAAGACACACCCCATTTGGCGAGCTAAATGCAGAAATGCAAGAGGGAATCTCTATAAATTCATGGCTGACTACTTATAAAAATATGTATCCAACGTTCTCAAGTTATGTAGGGTTTGTGTACGATGCAGTGTGGACCTATGCACTTGCTGCACATAAATTGCTGGAGAACAACACGTATGCTTTCAATGAGCTAAGATCAATAGAAGCTACAAAGCAACTGTCCAAATTAATTAGCGAAACAGATTTTAATGGCTTGTCTGGGAATGTGAGATTTGGAACAGGCGAGTTTGGCGGCTCGCGTATAATCGATCTGGATATTTTGCAATGGACGAATTCGACGTATGAAAGAATTGGTTTATTCAAACCTATTATTGAGGGAGAAGCAGCAAATATGCATATTAACGGAGGAAGACTAATTTTTTCGACAGAAAAAACATTTCATGGACAGGTGCCAGAAGATGGACGATATGACTGTAGCTTTTCAGCTTTAGCCCGTTTTTTGGATGTCACCTGTGATATTGCTTCTATGATATTCATAATTTTTCAATGTTTAATAGTAATTGTGTTGATGTCACTAATCTCTTGTTATTTTTGGAAAAAACGCTTCGATCGAAAAGTACGACGATCTGCTCAAATAATGAAAATGTTTGGCATTGACCTGATCTCACCATCAAGAAACAAAGTGAATACATTAGACAAATGGGAAGTACAAAAGGATAACGTTGTGATCAATAGACGGCTAGGCGAAGGTGCCTTTGGTACGGTCTATGGCGGTGAAGCGCGATTGGACTCTGACGAGTGGACTGCAGTGGCTGTCAAAACTCTGAAGGCTGGGCAATCTACAGAGGATAGATTAGATTTCTTGGCAGAAGCAGAAGCGATGAAAAAGTTTAATCACAAGAATATCATTAAACTTCTGGGTGTTTGTTTGCAAACTGAACCAATTTACACAATAATGGAATTCATGCTTTATGGCGATTTAAAGACATACCTTTTGGCTAGAAGAAACATGGTAAATGAGAAACTAACTGATGAATCGGATATATCATCAAAGCGTTTGACAATGTATGCCATGGACGTTGCAAGTGGATTGGCATATCTTGCAGAACAAAAATATGTTCATCGCGATATAGCATGTAGAAATTGTTTAGTGAACTCTCAGCGCGTCGTTAAAATTGGAGACTTTGGTATGGCCCGACCCACATTCGAAAGTGATTATTATTGCTTCAACAGAAAAGGAGTAAGAAAACTTTTCCCAGTCCGTTGGATGCCTCCTGAAACACTTTCGATGGGTTTATTTACGCCTGGCTCTGATATATGGTCATTTGGAGTTGTACTCTTTGAAATAATAACATTTGGATCATATCCTTATCAAGGCCTAACAAATAACCAAGTTCTCGATTTTGTTAAAGCTGGTAATACACTACAAATACCAAGCGGTGTCAAGCCACAGCTGGAAGGCCTCTTAAAGTCCTGTTGGAGTCAGGATGTCAGTAAACGTCCAACGGCGCTGGAAATAATAGAATATATTTCCAACTATCCACGATTGCTCACACCATCGATAGACTTTTCCGGAACGGCAGTTCAACTGTCAGAGTCGGAATGTGATGAAGTGGAACTTCTACCAACTTGTCACAAACCTTTTTCGTCGAACAACGAGCCCAAACTGGATCTTTTGTCACATCATCAAATTTGTTCTGATAATTTTCACAAAAATAACACCGAGAATGAATTTTCTAAATTGGAGGAAAATGATGGTTCTGGTTCTCCATGTAATGATATTTCCTTTTCCCAAACGACGCCAGATGGTTATAGCATAATGGCTCCACTTTTGAAGCATCAATTGGATGACATTTCAAACGGAAAAAAATCGTAAACTAATAATACCCGTTAAGTAAAACTTGGGACCTATGAGGTCTAAAAGTTAGTGGACTTAAATAATAATTCAACAAAAAGGAATGATGACAGTTTTCTTAAAAGTACTGATGAATATAATAATACTATTGATATGCAGGGATAATTAGATATTCAGATATGGTTAACATTAAGACAGGGACCGCAAATAACAGTTATGCATTTAAAAAAATTGACTCACGAAAGAACCCCCTAGAAGAGAGGGGAAAACACACAACAGAATAAACTCTTACTTGCAATTTTTTGCTAAAAAATTATTTTTAATTATTAAAATTTATTTTTTGCTAAAAATGATTTAGATATATGTACATATGTACACATTTATAACTACATTAGCTATAAGCAAAAGTAATAAATATATAAGCAATTTGGGTTTCTTACAGCTTTTAATATCACAAATCTTAATAACTTAAGTCTATGCCAAATTTATTTTTTTGTTTCACTCGCCCAAGTTGCCCAAGACTTATACCTGTTATTATTATAACAGACATTATGACACATAAGTTTTTGGTTATTGTATTTTAAACTTTAAAAGTAATCGTCTTTCCTTGGCGGATGCACAAAAGAAAACAACAGTTTTAGTAAATCATTTTAAGTAAATTGCTACAAAATGCTTTCATATATATAAGCTAATTTCGCTTGTATGTCATGCTGGGCTAGTTAACAAAAATGCTCTATGGTAATTATAGCAGGAATATCTTATCAATTGAGAAGTATTTCAAATTTTGAAATTTAATATATTTAAGACATTCATAAAGTAAGTATAGCTATGTTATATTCATTTCTAGCTTCGAATAACTTCTTCAAGGGCTTCTTGGCCTGAATAGAACTGACATTTGTCCTAAGGTATACTTAACAATATATTAAGTAATTAAAGCAACTATTGTCTAAATATCGATAGAAAAGCTAGTTATAAAAACTGTGTTAGTAATTTTATTATAAGCTATATTTTTTATTTAAATGCTTTTACTCAGACCTATTAAAATATGTGCACAAAAAACAGTGTACATATATATTCACAAATTTTTAGTGCGACATTCGCTGCTTTGAGGGATATAACAAGAGTTCCATATTCGCTGAGTGAAAGAATAAAGTAATAAGGCTAGAATGGAATAGAAGCGCATTCACAATTAACCAACCGCACACACTTCTATGTATATGTATGTATTTGTGTGGGTGTCTGCGTAGAGATAGACTCTTACCCACACACATGAGTGCCTATATACATATTGTAAATCTGTGAATTAAGAAACAATCATAATAATCGCACTCAGCGCACGTAATTATAAAATCCACATCACAGAACGAGAAACGGTCGGGCCTAGCAATAGCTACACATCTACAGCGACAGCTACAGTTTCACCATAAGCTCCATTGCAGACTCCCTGCCTTTATCTGCGTCTCCGTTAACGCCATGACTGCCGTAGCAATTGCTGTGGAAAGTGCACAACGACATTATGTTGCGCTCTACCGCGCTAATGCAATGGTCTATCATCAACGTCCAGAGCAACCATATAATAGAATGGAAAGAGATGCAGATATACAGAAAGTATGTGTGTGTGTGAGAGAGGGAGAGTGAGTGGGAGAGAGAGGGAGAGCGAGAGAGAGAGAGAGGGATGTGGAGCGAAAGAGAGGTAGGGTGAGAGAGCGAGTGGGTTTGGATGGAAAAGCAAAGGGACCTAGCAGAAAGCTACAAGCGCGTTGCATGCAATTCCACAGTCATCATTAGTTGTGCTAATGCACCGGAGCTAGAGGGAAAGACGAGGTAGTGTGTTATCGCAGCAGCAGAAAGAGCAGCAGCGGCATCAGCTGCAACTGCAGACGCTGCAGTAAAATTGTCTGTCAGATGCAATTCCAAACGAATGAAATTGTTTCATGTTACACAATAAAAATTCTAT